GCCCGCCGCCCTCCACCCTGAGCTGATTGACCCCCGCCGTATCTCAGGAGACACTCACTCACAGCCACTCAGGCCGTGACGCCCAGAACGTTCCTCGGGGGAAAGGGAAGAATCTGCCTCCCTGCCCCCCCCACCAGCAAACCTTCTGAGCCGGAGCACATGTGGGGCACTGGCACAAGGGGTGGCAGAATTCGAGATCTGCTGCGCTGACGGTGTCCTCCACCTCCTCCAGGTCCTCCTCCGTCCACTCCAGGAGGTAGCGCACCTAGTGACGGGGAGGAAGGAGACGCAGGAACGTCACACTCGTCCTCTGCTCCGCGATGAGCCGCGATAACTCATACTCACACAGACAATTAGCTGCCGTGTTCCCAAGTCAGGGCCCGCCCTTCCTTCCTCCACCCCCAAACGGTTTCTGCTGCCTCCTGAGGACTCCGGGGTTCGCGTGTGCTCAGACGTTCCTCTGTCCTTCTGAGGGTGACAGGAAGCTGCCATTCCGCGGCTTATGTTAGAGTCGTTTCTTCCATCTGAAAGGGGCAGACTGGTGCGGCTCAAGGGGAACTGGCTCAAGCCTCGGTCCTGGGGACGCGGAGCGAGCATCTCCTCGTACACGATCCAATCGTCTACTTCCAACCACCTGCAAGTCAGCTCCAGCTCCCCTCCCCCTCCAGACAGAAAACTCACTCCGAGAGGTGTTCAAGGGTCCACACCTCGTAAGTGGTGGCTGGACCCGAAACACAGGCTCCTTGACCCTGTGCCAATGTTCTGCTCTTTCCACTACAATGCGCTAGCCCACGGGTGAAAGTTTTTGTTTTTAGAGATAGGGTCTCACTATGTCGCCCAGGCTAGATGCAGTGGCTATTTACAGGTGTGACCACGGTGCACCACAGCCTCAAACTCATGGGCTCAGATGATCCTCCTGCCTTAGACTACCAAGGAAAGTCTTGAAAAGACCCCCTAACGGGTCAAATTTCTGTTCTGGCAAAGACTAGTTTCTAGAATATGAAACTTGAGAAAAGAGCACAATACATTTCTGGGCCTGGTGATAAGCACGGAGGAAGTCAGCATATGTCTGCAAGGCAGGACCAAGAGTTCTAGGAACCCTCAACTCCAGACCTTCTCTTCCTTGGTCCCTTTCACATATCTGACAGCAGACACTCCTGGGGTGGAAACAGCAATGGCTTCACCTAATGGGCTAGCTGGGACTGACCATGGCAGTCTCTCTTGGTGAGAGAGGGGAACAACACAGGTGTGGGGACCTGCCAAGCGGGTGGCCTCAGGTAGAAGGTTGAGAGGCTGTGGCACGTGTAGACGAGCTGGAATGGTGACCCCAGGGCACTGAGAAGTCTGTCTCTGCTCACCCCCTTCACCAAAGGCCTCAGCCCCTGATCCGCCACCAGCAAGACAAAGAGCAGACATGCCATGACATGGGGTGCTGTTCTTACTGTGTCTCCACACAGGCCGTGCCACTGGCTCATACTGTGACACCCTGGGTGCCTGAAGACAGCCTCCTTGGCTCCCCTCAGGGAATGCTGAGTTCTCCTGGTGCTGTCCTCAGGAAAGGCATGCTATAGTTTGGACGTCTGTCCGCTCAAACCTCAAGCTGAAATGTAATCCCCAAGCCAGGCTCAGCAGCTCATGCCTGTAATCCCAGCACTTAGCGAGGCCAAGGCAGGAGGGTTGCTTGAGCCCAGGAGTTCAAGAGCAGACTAGGCAACACAGCGAAACCTTGACTATACAAAACAAATATTTAAATGAGCTGGGCATGGTGGCACGTGCCTGTAGTTCCAGCTACTCAGGAGGTCGAGGCAGAAGGACTGTCTGAACTCGAGAGGTCAAGGCTGCAGTGAACCATATCATGTCACTGCACTCCAGCCTAGGCAACAAAGTGAGACTCTGACTGAAAATAAAAAAGCAGAAGAAATGTGATCCCCAGTGCGAGAGGGGGGCCTAGAGAGAGGTGCTTGGGTCATGGGGGTAGACCCCTCGTGAATGGCTTGGCACTGTCCTCATGGTGATGCCTTAGTTCAAGTTAGAGCCAGTTGTTACAAAAAGCCTGGCACCTTCTCCTCTCATCTGTCTCTGTCTCTCTTTTCTCTCTGTCTCTTCTGTCTCTCTGTCTTTGTCTTTCTGTCCCTCTCTATCTTTCTCTCTCTCTCCTCGGTCTCTCTCTCTCTCCATCCACGAGAACTCTGCGCACACCAGCTCTCCTTCCTCTTCCACCAGGAGTGGAAGCAGCCAGACGTCCTCACCAGGACCAAATGCTGGCTCCATCCTTCTTCATGAGCCAAACGAACTGCGTTTCTTCATGAACTACCCCGCCTTGAGTATTCCTTTTAGAAACACAAATGGACAAAGACAAAGAGCACCCAACGGCAGCCAGACACAGAAACCCACATCCTGCCCACGGGAACTGTGTGTCATTCTGACGAATTAACAGTGGCCTCCGAGCAGAGGCTAATATACCGATGACCACATTCTCATTTGTAACATCCCAGAAGCTATTCGAATCAGGCCCCACTGATCGGTGTTCACCACCTCAAAGTCAATCACCAAAGGAAAGCACTCCGGAAGCACACGTCACTGGGAAGGTCCGCTGTAACATGACTGATTCAGAGCCCCGAACTGGATAAGCACCTAGTTCACTCCTCCATTAACAGTGGGGACATGTTCCTTTAGGAAATTGAAGGCAGCCCAGGGGAAGCTGAACGTGGGACTCAAATGGAAGTTGCCTCCACTGTCCACCAATCTCACCGTGAGATGTGACCTGGGATCTGCAATGCCGGTAGGACAGATGGCCTCCTTCAAGCCCACCCAGAACAGCCAGCACCATCTCGTCCAGACACCTGCTTGTCACTCCTTGGAGCCTCAGAGCTCGGCCTGCTGGCCCAGGAGTCACAACTGTCCACAGCTCCTGCAGAGCTGTGCAAATGCCTCCAGGCTCTCCCACTCCTCCCTGCGTAACCCTGCCCTCTCTTTGTTTTAGTTTTTTTTTTTTTTTTAAGATGAGGTCTCGCTATGTTGTCCAGGTTAGTCTCAAACACCTGGGCTCAAGTAATCCTTTTCACCTCGGCCTCCCAAAGTGTTGGGATTACAGGCATGAGTCATCACACCAGGACCCCTGCCCTGTCTTAAAACCAGGCCGCTCTCCTTCCTCCCCAGCTAGTGGGCCTGGGCTCTGGTCCCACACTCCACTCTGTGCCCTGGACATGGTTCAGCCTTCTTGCCAACGTGTCACCACACTCCTGGAATATGAATGTCCAAAAGGCGAGGACTACCTTGGCTATGGGTCTTTATGTCGATCTGCCTCATTACTTGTCAGAAAACATCACCATTACCAAATCTTCCTTAAATATACCACCTTCTCTGCAAAACTGAACAGCGAAGCTACACAGCCTGCAACTAAATTAGAGACAAGAAACACAGGTGGGCAGCTGTTTTAAACAGAGAGCAGGAAGGCTCTCTGGACCAATACTGCTTTGCAAGGCTGCCAAGTTAAAAAAAAAAAGTAAAAGAAAAAAGGAAAACATACTCCTGAAAACTCACCATTTCTAGATCTCCATCAGCAACTGCTCTTAAAAGTTTTTCTACCTTAATAAAGAAAAAGAGAATGTTAGAAAAAAGATTCTAATATTAAAATAATAATAGAAATAATATAAACATTCAGAAAACCTAGTAGCTTTCATTTTTCTCTGGATTTCATTTAGTATCTCTCAAACACACCCCTCACACTACTCAGATGGGCCATCCTGGGAGTTCTGGTGTGCACAGAACCCATGGCCATTTAAGGTCTATAAAATGCAACTGTTATTTATGTGGAAGGGTGAAATGATGGCCACCTGGAAGAACGAGCATTTCCTGAGAGGCCAGCCCCAACATGACCTATAACGACAGATACTAGCTGAGGGTGCTCAAGGGTGGACACCCCTCCCAGGAAAGATCTCAGGTCTCTTGGACTTTGGCCCCATCTCTTGGTCTTCTCCACTAGGGTTTTGCATGACCTCCAAGCGCAGGTCATGGCATTGGGGGTGGGGGCTAGTGAGGGTTCACAGCATGGGGTAGTCGGCAGCGGAGCCAGGGTACAGCCGTACAACATCCACTCTTCAGTTAAAGAGTGAGGCAAATCTACTGGGCTGACATTGAACAAGCTCTAAGATACATTAAACAGGAAAAAAGCAGGCTATAAATCGGCTTTTACAAAACACAAAATGTACATCCACATAAATGTCCATGTAAACTTTGCAAGAAGTCAGAAACAACATGCACCAGGTTCTTATCAGAGGTGCTTATGGCCATGTCTGACAAAGGCCTAACATCTAGGATCAACAAGGAACTCAAACGTGCCGAGAAGAAAAAAACAAACAACCCCATTACAAAGTGAGCAAAAGATATGAACAGACATTTCTCAAAAGAAGACATCCGAGAGGCCAACAGACACATGAAGAAATGTTCAACCTCACTAGTCATCAAGGAGACTCAAATTAAAACTACACTGAGAGGCCGGGCTCGGTGGCTCAGCCTGTAATCCCAGCACTTTGGGAGGCTGAGGTGAGTGGATTGCCTGAGCCCGCGTG